AGATTCAGTGTAGTGTTGAGATTAGGATAATGTGTGTATACATCTGCGCCGCTGACATCGGTTCTGAGCCACATCACCTAGAGTCTCCAGCCACTGGTTCCTCTTGTCCGGTGGACCCCAACCACCTAGTCTGCACCACACCACATGGCTCAAACCAACAGTCAGAGACTTCATACATTGGTGCCATGTTTTATTCTGGCCACCTCGGGCCTTTCTTCAGCCTGGACCTACTTCGGCCAATACTGTGTAACAAAACAATCGGTGACTAGGCATACGTAGTACTTGTCCCAACCGTCTCAGTCGATGAAGGTTCATAACCTCGTCGACGGATTCACCTCTACTCCCCAAAACTCTACACCTGACTTCTGCGTTACTCACATGGTGACACTACGGAATACTGCCCATACTACGAAGGCAACGGTGGTCAAACACCTGAAGCCAGCCTTCTCATGTCTTCCACCTTCAATGGCCATGTTTCACAGCCATACAGCGGAACAGAGTGGACTACTGTGCAGTACCCGCGACCCTTAACAGACACGGATATCACGGCCGCGCCATAGGTGGCGTAAATTGGCAAAAGCCAGCTGAGCCTTTTGTGTCCGTGCAGAGATTTTATCGACCACCGAGCTAGCCACCAGGGCTGATCCTACTTCCCAGGTAAGTGAAGTGGTCGACACACTCAACCACTTCACTCTCTATTGTTAGCCGTGGCACCTTTGAAGACCAATCCTGAAGCAACAATCCTCATTTGGGTGGTGAGAACCGCATCCCAAACATTCTCAAATTCCTACTCAAAGTGTTCAGAAGACTCTGCATCTTGTCAGGGTCTTCACCTAACAGGAATATGTCATCTGCATATTCTAGGTCTAATGAAAATTCTCCCGTGATTAGGTCAACGTCTGTGCAACCTGATGATGAGAGGGAAACCTCCATAAGAATATCTATGATAAAACTGAATAAGAATGGAGAGAGTGGGCACCCTTGGTGGACACCATTCGATGAGCATAGCTCCCTGGCCATCTCACCGTAGGCTCTAACACGCCCACAAGTGTTCGAGTAGAGAGCCTTCAATAAGGTGATGTACTTACTCGGTACACACACCTTTCAGTGAGAGACATTGCCATAAGACTTGTCGATCAACGGAGTCGAACGCCACCTTCAGTGACTAGTCCCGTATCATAAATGAGGTCTTATGAACCTAAAGGCAAATTTGTTCGAAGGTTCGTTGCAGGGTTACTATCAGTTTTCGTCTTCTTATAGCTACATTGAACTTTTTCTGTTGTGATGACACGGTTGTGCATCAGTTTACATCGAAAAATCTGGTTTCAAGTTGGGTGAGTCACACTATTTCTGAAGTATCAAGATTTAGGTATACGTTTTCTTGTTTCGAGTGAATTTATCCTCTATGGGTTTTCGGTTTCAAAAAGCCTCTGTGAACTATGCGCTATATTGACTGAAGAAGAGAAGGATATAAAGTTCAGTTTGAGCACTTGCGTTTAATTACATCCAGCAAGTTCACTTGCTTGTGGCAGCATTCTTCAGGTGCTTTTGCAGTAATTATTAAGGGGATTCAGCCAAATCAGTATTACCACGAGACAGTCTAAGTTGCCGCACCTCATATCATTACATCAAGGTGAAAGGTACCAATATGTAAAAAATAATCAAGAATGTAGTTGTTAGTGGTAACAAGCCGTGAAAAGTTATCGGGCAGGAAACACTATATAGTGTATAAAAGTGTGACGGTTAAAAGGCAAGTAATGTACGGGTGCATCGCCACAAATCAATTCCGAGTCATATCACCATTCTCTAACCAGATTTCAGTTATCTCACTGACCCCGATCAAGAAGTCCACATCTCACCACTCGGCTCAAACTTGCAGACAGACTTTATGGAGCAGTGCTGAGTCTTGGTTTGGCTACCTCTAAATTTTCCAACTTCAACCCACTCCAGATAACGCTGCTCAATGAGGTAAACGAAGACAAGTGATGCGTAACACCCTAGTCATTTGAGTTGATGGGCTTCCATAACCTGATCAAATACGACTATCTCATTCATCTTCAATCTTACTAATGTGAGACAAAAGAAGGCGTAAACTGGCGAGTGCCAAATAAACTTTTTGCATCCCACCTGGAATTTCCTCGACAACCAACCTATGTAGGCTGATACAACGTACCAAGAAAGTAGATAATTCAACACATTTCATCACTTAACGCTATGCCGAATCTCACCACTTTCTCAATCTTCCTTCCTCTCTTTTAGTGCTTTATGTTTCTTTTGACTGAATTCTCTTTTCTTCATCTCCCACTTCACTGCCTTTTCATTTGATGTACTGATATGAGCTGTGGTCGTTGCACAGTAATGCCTGGTCCTATGCTGCTTTGGATGGATAGGTGGACTTAAGTCACTTCTCTTAAGCAGGGAGTCCATGCAAACCAGCCTTAAAAAATTACATTCCACTTTACAGGTACGATATGCACGCCAAGTATACTGAAATTTCCGCTCGCATCCACCTGAAGACCCTGTATTTCGTCAGCGTCTTCACCTAGCCTGAAAACGCCATCTGTGTACTGCAAGGCAGCTACGTGCGCTCCTGGAAGTAAGACTCACTAAAAATTTAGAGATACCCATCCAGAAGCCATCCAACCAGTTCCTCAAGTGGAAACTACTTTAAAATCTTTATCGTGGGACTGAACTCAAAGTTATCCTCCGCCGGCACTTTTCCCAAATCCATCCAGGTTCAGACATACACATGCTCGCGTCAACGTGTGATTACTGTCCACATACGTGATTCAGAAGCAGCTCCACTCTTCCATAGACTCTGCCAGGGAGGTCCTATTCACTGCCTTCATGTGGCGGGGTGTTTCCACAAAAGTGAAGAGGCGAAAGCAAATGTCCAGCACTTATCACTGGATTGGTGGATATTGAACATCCACTTAAGGGAGTTAAAAAAAACCTGATTCCAAACTAACAGTGCACATGGTCTCCAGGTTCCGGAAAAAACGAATAGTATATGAACCTATTTTAGTCACCGGCATCCATGGTAATGAAGCTCCTGATGTTGCTCCACTACCTTGTGGATTAGACTCAAAAGCTCGGGTAGTACATCTTTCAGATTCACCATATAGGTTGGGTGAGGTTAGTTTAATGATCTCACTTAAATCCGGTATACGTGTCTAACAAAACAACACACTTGCCCTTCCTTGAGGTAAGAGGGTTTTGACTAGTGAAGCTCATTTTTCGACTTGATGTGTGTGTGTGTGTGTGTGTTATTATTGCTAGCTTTGATATATAGTCTGAAATTTGTCTTTTGGGGAGACTAGAGATGTCGCTTCAGGTAATCTAATAATTCCTCTTGTGATACTGATAATAAGGTATTCAAGGAATACTCTTTCCAGAGAACTTAATTTCAAGTTGTGGATTCGTATATGCATGATATTTATATTCCATGAGGAAATCGAATCAATAGGTGGTAATAATGGTAATGACAGGGGTACTTATCATTTCATTGATTTAAATATGAATGATTGTGTAATACATAGAATCGTTCATGAAATACGTAACTCAAAAAGAGACGTAAATTTGGTGGTAACTTAATAAAGTGTTATGTAGTAGGACTGAACAAGTTGGTTATAACAAAATCAGTGTTTCCTGAAAAGATTAAGGTGATTAAGCTTAATGTTATCGAAAGCTGTTGAGTATGAAGCTAGTAATAATAGTGATGAAGAAAGGATACAAAGAGGGGAGACTAGTGGCAGTGGGGAAATGTTAAAGCCACGGTTGAATCATTGACTGTACACACTTCTTTCGTATGCAAAGATCAAGCTTTATTTCATAATTAACTAAGACATCCGCTGTCTTGGTAATTGAAAACGAAGAAAATGTTTAAGGTTTCGGGGAATTCGGTAAAGTTTGAAAGCCTTCTGAATTTGTTGAGTAGTGGGGATTGATCAGATGATCGAGCTGGGTATACTCTCGTATACGTGAGGGAGGCATTCTCTGTGGACGCGTTTATGTGGTAGAGTTTGTCTAAGGATAAAGATTTGGTCGGTGAACCGTCGTCCAGGTCTGAAACCTGCTTGGTTTTCTTGAATTTGCTGCTGTCGTACTCTGGTTAGCCATCGCATAAATATAAACCTTAAGATTTTGGACGCGGTGACGATCAAATGATCTTCCTGTGGTTGTCACAAGACTTCTACCAATTGTCAGGTGGTGGGAGGCAATCGATAGGAAGTTTTGAAACTTTGTTTCGTCCCTGTTGGCCCTCGTCGGCAAAGCTTATCGGCAACCTTGAAGTACTGGTGTCTCCTGAAAGATTGGAACCCGTGCCATTCAGTGTTGCAGTCAGAGGCTTTGCCACCGAGACATTCGGACTGTAATTGATCTTCTGTCAGTACTCTGATTGATAACTAGAGGCAACTACAAAACCTAGGTTCAGGTCTTTCTGTTGATTGTCTCCAATCCTGTAATGTTAATTCAAGTGCACGGAGACGCTTAGTCTCGTTGCCTGGTGACCACATCACAGAATGATGAATGGAATTTGGTCAGCACCGATGACTACATAACATGAAACTGGCCACCCTGCAGTCACCGACCATGTAATTCTGCCCATTCTCATAGACTGCAATGATCAGCGATCAAGACGCGACTACCTATGATTCCTATACATTAGCTCTTGTGTTTCCGTTGCTGTGGCCAATAACTTTGTACATTCTTTCAAAGAACTTTTGGTGGTAAACCGTAAGGTCCTGCTGCTTTTCATCGTTTTAGGTTTGAGATAGCCTTCTTAATTTCAAAGAGAGTTTAAGGATTGATGTGGGTGTTCCTCTGAGATTATGGAATGGATGATGGTCAACAAAAGCGTGTTTGCAGACTTCACTATCAACCATACATAATCACACTGCTTTCTGATAAATTTCGTTTCAGATTTTGTTACTCCGGAGGGATCACGTGTCAGCAGCCACTAAATACATCATTTTTCTAACGACGCTAAAATAGGAAAAATGGCTTTTATTTCGTGTTTAAGGAATAATGCAGTTGTGAAATCACCGTTTTATCAACGTGTTAGACCAAACTTGTTTCTCTCAAGGTGTTTCTTTACCTCGCCCAAGTCATCAGCACTATCCACACCGATCGAAAAATCAACATACCATACTTCATCGATTGTGGGTCGATGGTTGTTGGGTCTTTCTGGAATGACTTTCGGTGCTATACTGCTTGGTGGAGTAACAAGGTTCTCATTATATCTACTTATTAACTTTACTAAAGATTGACTGAATCTGGCCTTTCGATGGTTGATTGGCATCCATTCAAGGAAGTGCCCCTTTTAGTGAAGAACATTGGCAATTAGAATTTGAAAAATACAAGAAGTTTCCAGAACATGAACAGAAAGTTTGCATTCGTATGCTTATATCTTCTTCAGTTATGTGAAGGAACATGGAGAAATGTCAGTTACTCGATTCAAGTTTATATGGTACATGGAATTCATGCATCGACTGTGGGGTCGATCGATTGGTGCTGCTTTTCTCTTCCCAGCAACCTACTTTTTGTACAAAGGTTATTTTTCCTCCACGATGAAGCCTCGAATTTTTATTTACGGTGGCCTAATTGGGTTTCAGGTAGTCATCTATTTTCTGCTGTGTCGTTATCCTTTATTCTTCTGTAAAATTTGCTATGGACTCCAAATGTTTTGCTTCTCAAATTTTTATGTGCACTATATGAATGTGATTTCAGCGTAGCATTTATCACGAATTAACATCAATTGGAGAACCATTAGAAGCCTAAGAACAACAAACATTAGTTTCGTCCTAGTATTGGACTTCTCAGCAGTGCACACCCGTGACCTCACCAGGGATCACACTCAAAACCATCAGGTCCCTGTGAGCACACTACCGTTTAGCCACTGGTCGGAATCTAGTGGTCTGTATTTCCCTACTTCTGTCAATTTGTGATGTAGCGTGACCTTCAGCAATATCATTGTTGAGCATTTGTCCTCACACCCGGATTAGTGGGTCCCACATGTCTCACTGAAACTTCAAGAAATCCATCCGAAGAATGTTACTAATGAGCAGTAGACAGTAATTCAGTTTGGAATATGACAGCCACCACTTTCAAAAACAGAGATAGTTTTGAGTTTGATAATAAATTTTGTATGTTTCACAGCTACTGGATGACTCTCACAAATTTGATTTGATATGAAAATCTCCAAAAACGTGTTAATTGTTGTATGGTCTGTGGTCCCCTAAAAATAACCTACATTTTTTTTTGCTGTGTACTGTGTTATTTCAATCCTCACATCACCGAAAGCCATTTGATTATAGGTGATACTTTTACGGAAATCATGTTTTCAATCATTTTTAAAACCACCTCATCTGTCTCTTTCGGGAAGTGAAAGCGAACCTGCCTATCGTTTCCACCTAATCTTTAGCAAACTTTTATCAGCGTTGAGTAACTATCAGAGTAAATCGTGGAATGGGAGTTTTACCCGTTTTTGTACCTGCGTTAACCAATTTATGATTAAGGTTAAGGACTAGAAATTCATCGAGGTTTTTAACTGTCCATTTAAAGTTCACCGCCAGAGCACGCTGTCATGGGTTATCGAAAAAAATTGCACTGTTCCATTACTTGGTGGTGATTTTATACGATAACATTTTCCCGTGATTTACTGGAGTAAGGAAATCGAAGCGGTATACTGAGAATTGATGCCATTCAGTAACGACTCACTGTGTTATTTACACATCTATGGATCCCACTTATTGTGTGCAAACTCAACATACTGTTTGGTACTTGAATCTCGGTGGTTGAAGAGTGATTTTAGTCTTTGATCTACTGGTAGTTGGCTGCCTAAGTCAATGGATTGCCGTAGTTGAATAAAATTTCTTTCGACCAATAAGCAAATGATTTTCACGTTTTTAAATTTGTTAGTTATTAGTGTATTATAGATATGATGAACTTCAACTTGTAAACCTCTGAGTTCTGTTGAGTTTCTTATGTAGTTAATAATTGCGTGGTGGGATGGGCTAACATCGGTATGGAATTTAGGGTTCAATTATTCATGAGGTGTAGTTATATCATCCAGATACAGTATAAGTTTGTAAAGTAACTCAATTCAGTAATTTGTTGATGGTGTATGATTATTGTTTTTCCCTTGGGTTCCTAATGGAACATAGAGCTTCAGTAGCACGTCTCCATTCCACTCTGTTCTCTGCAATCTTTTGAACCTGGCTCCACGACAGTCCACAAGCTCTCATTTCTTCCTCACACCATCTCATCCATGTCACCCTCGGACACCCAACTCGTCGTTTCCCATCTGGGTTTTACTCGAGAACCTGGCGCGTGATGTCCCCGAATGGTCTTCTCAGTGCATGCCCAACCCACCTCCACTTCCTTCTGCATATTTGTTGGGTGATAGATTCTTGGTTGGTTCGTTGCCAACCAGAGTTCCTTGTTGTTTATTCTTAGTATTCTGGCCATCTGATCTTCAGTAACGAGCCAGCGTAGGCAGTTGTTGATGAATATCTGTAGTTTGTTGGAAATGCTTTTCGTGACGCGCCAAGTCTCTGAGCCATATAGAAGCACTGACTTACTTGACATTAGTGTTGAAAATCCGGATCTTGTTATTTATGCTGAGTGCAGAAGATCTCCACACTGGTTTCAGGTTAGTGAACGCCGGTCTTGCTTTTCCGATCCTGGCTTTGACGTCTTCGTCTGTGCCGCCGCCTGTAGTTGGAACGATGCTGCCTAGATAGATGAAAGAGGCTACTTCCTTTAAGTTTCTCCTGTTTATGGTGATTGGAGTTTGTTGTTGTTGTTGGTGGTGGTGGCGTTAGTTGGGTATCATCCTCACCTCTGTCTTCTCTATATTCACTTGAAGTCCCGTCTCCCTTCGCTGCCCTGCCTCTTCTGTCAACTTGTTAGTTTTTGCTTGTAGATCTTCGAGTTTGTGTGACATCAGACACAAGTCATCGTTGGCGAAATCCAGATCTTCTAGGTTCTTTTCCGCAGTCCAGCGCATCCCCCTCTTCTCGCTCCTCACAGTTTGTTGCATGATCCAGTCGACCACAATCGGGAATATCATGGGTGATAGTAGACAGCCTTGTTTTACTCCTGTCTTCACTTCTAAGGCGTCGCTGTTTCCCATTGTGAATTACTTGGCATGTGGCGTCTTCATATAGTTGTTGAATGAGGCTGATAAAGGTTTGTGGTATTCCGTAGTGTTGAAGCAGTTTCCAAATTACCTCTTGGTCGACGTTGTCAAAGGCCTTTTCAAAGTGGATGAAGTTGAGGTAGAGAGTTGACTGTCATTCTATACTGTGTTCTATGATGATGTGTAGCGTAGTGTTGCAATTTGATCCGCACATGATTTGTTCTTCCTGAAGCCAGCCAGCCTGTTCTGGTCGTAATTTTGAATGCAGCGCATCCTTTAGTCTCTCCAGGATGATGCGGCTTAATATTTTGCTTGGTGTGGACTGGAGCATGATTCCGCGCCAGCTCTTGCAAACACTTAGGTCTCCCTTCTTTTGGAGTTTGAGAAGGTAGCCCTTCTCCCAATCAACCGGCAGGTACCTTTCCTTCCTTCCTTGCAAACCTTCTGCAGTAGTGGTGTGAGCATGTCCGCCGCTGTTGTCTCTGCGTCTGTTTTCAGTGCTTCTGGTGAGATTCCATCTGGTCCTGTTGCTTTCCCGGATTCCAGCAGCTTTACGACATTCAGGACTTCTGCTTTTGTCGGGGGGCTTGTGTTCTGTCGTTGCTGGTGGTGGTGATAGTCTATTCAAGAGCTTCTTGAAGTGGTCAGCCCATTGTTTCCTTTGTTTCTCTTCTTTGGTAATTAGATTTCCTTCATCATCTTTTATTGGTTTCGCCTGCGTCGATCTCTTCCCAGATAGCAACCTGGTTATTTGATACAGTGTTGTCAGGTCTCTCTTACCTACAGCCTGTTCTGCTTCACTTGCCAGTGTTTCGTAGAAGTGTCTTTTGTCTTTCCGTGCACTCTTCTTCACTTCTTTGTTCAGTGTTTTATACATTGTACTCAGTTCCTCTTGTCGTTGAACGTCTTTGCACTGGTTTATCTTCTGCTTCACCATCCTCCTCCCTCTGCTCTATCGGCTTCCAGGTATCCGTCGAGATCCATTCCTTGTCTTCCTTCTTCTTTCTTCCTAATACGGCTGTGCAGGTTTCTTTCCACACCTCTTTCAAAGACTTCCAGTGTTCTTCCACACAGGTTTCTTCAGGGATGTTCCTCGATATCTCCCATTTTGTCGTGATAGCTGACGTGAAGATTTCCTTTGTAGTTTCGTCCTTCAGTTTCCGAGTGTTGTACTTGAACTGTGGTCTATCACCAGCTTCCTTGAAGGCTTTAACTTGATTTGGAAGGTTCCTTGCACTAGATAGTGGTGTGAGCCTACATCTGCTCGTCGTCTTGACCTTGTGTCCAGTAAGCTGCGTCTCCATTTTCTTGAGATTGAGATAAGGTTGATCTGATTTTTAGTGTGTTCTGGTGAAGCCCATGTCGCTTTGTGGATATCCTTGTGCCTGAACACAGTGCCTCCAATCACCAAATCGTTGAATGCACAGAATTCTAAAGACAATTCTCCATTCTCGTTCATCACCTCACCGAGCGCTTCTCGACCCATGGTTAGTTCTCTTCCTGTGTTGTCCCCTCCCAGTTTGGCATTCATGTCGCCCATTAGAATTTTGATATCGCCAACTGAGGTCTTGTCCAGTGTTGATTGAAGTTGTCTGTAGAATCCCTCCTTTTTCTCTTGCTCTGCATCATTTGTAGGTGCATAGCATTGTATGATTGTGACCTTCCTTCCTTTTGAGTTGAACCTTGCTGTCATGATTTAGCTGGAGGAGGAGATTGGTTGCCACTGTATAAGAGAGAGTCTTCGATGCTGTTGGTAGGGGGACATCATGATAGCCACTCGTGTTTGTTGTCTGGGTGGTCGGAGTAGATTATTGACTCTCCAGTTGACAGTTTGGAGAGTCCACTTCCATCCCACCTGCTTTCGCAGATTCTTAGCACTTCTATGCTATACCTTCTTATCTCTTTTGCAATCTGGGCAGCCTGATGGTGTATGATGCATTATTGAGTTTTTCCCATACATTAGCCCATAAAATGAAAGGTTCAGCGGGAACTTATTTGCTGAACAAGTGTCATTTTAAAACTATTATCACATATAAATAGCTCAATAACCTGGCCACAATATATATAAAAAGTGATGCAACAAAAGTAAATCATCTCGATTCTTCTAATAAATGACAAATAGAGAATTTTTAACTGGTAATTTTCGTTCTCTAAAGAAACAGTGAAGGTAAGATTGAAGTTGTAACGCTATCGTTTATATTCATTAAAAGTGTCTAATGACTGAACAAAACTGTTTTCAGTGTGACGTTTACTTCAAAATGTTAAGGTGTCTAACGAAATCTTAAATGCCTGTTTGCATTACATGTGGAAGCAGCAGTTGGATTTCAGTTATTTAATATTTACGAACATTACATCAGAATTTCGCGACCCACAAGGGGTTGTGTGTCACAGACCTCAACCAGATATCCTATAGGCTCTGGGGCTACTCAAATCGTTTCTCTCTTTCAGATGTCCTGGGAGGAAATAGCCTTCCATGGTGTGGGGAGCTAGGAAATGTCAACCACCTGCACCCTGTCGGCAGCATTCAAAACACGAGTGAACAAAACCTATCCCCCGGAGCTCTGTCTCCTCCGTTGTCTTCACCTCCGATGCTAATATGAGGCCTCTTACACCTTCCCTAAACATTCATTTTGCGACCATTGGCAACGATCAGTTTTAGATATAATGACAGGTGACTTTAATGCTCAAATAGGGAAGCTGAGCCAATCGGAAAGCCATCCTCAGGGTATTTACGGAATCCCATATCAAAGAACAGAAAACGATGACCGCCTGTTGCAATTTTACTTCGGTAATCACTTTCTTTCTGGCCAGCACTAAGTTTAGCACAAAGAGAGACACTGTCACACATGGCGTCATCTGACTTCAAAGCAACGATGGACACAGATAGACCTCACTGACCTAAACCATCGGTGGAGGCTTGCAGCTCTTTCTAGACTAAGGGTTCGAACCCCGATCATGTGACAGCACGGGCTCGTGCATGTCTGTGTCTTTCTGGTCGCAATAGGGCTATTGACAACAAGATAATGGTAAGAGAAACCATCACCAAAGTGGATGGAACACTGATAACCTCCCACGACGGGCGGCTGAAGCTTTGGGCAGAACACTTTCAGGCACAGTTCAACTGGCCTTCACCAACGCTTCCGTTGTCCAACATCCAACCAGTCCAAACATGAATGAGACGTAGATGTCGGTCCTCCGACTCTCCTTGAATTTGAGAAAGCTGTATCGAACCTGAAACGATGCAAACCAGTGGGACCTGACAGTTTGCTACCAGAAATTTTCAAGAATGGAGGTAGAAAATTGCTGTCTAGAGTGTCAGAGGTACTAAGTAGTTTATGGTGTGTACTTCGTTGGTCATCTCAGTCTATAAGATGGAAGAGAAGTCCTCCTGTGACGACGATATGGGGATTAGTGTGACTAATATTATGTCCAAAATCCTAGGGTCTATAGTTATCCGACACGTAACTGGAGGTCGAGAAAGCCAAGCAGGTTTCAGACCTGGACGAGGGTGCATCGATCAGATTCTCACCCTACGACAGGTCCTGGAACACGGGCATACCTACCGGCTAACGGTATATTTCTTGACCTGAAGGTGGCATTTGACTGTGTCGACTGTAAGGTGTTGTGGCAATGTGTAAATGTCAAAGGAGTACCAAGCGGGTATATAAGGCCTGATCAAAGCCATCTACTTGAAGTCATGCAGCCGTGTAGTGGCTTAGAGAGAGTTGTCATCTGAATTGAAGACAACTTGTGGTGTCCACCAGGGGTCACCCAAAGTCACCGTTCCTATTTTACTTCGGCATCGATGTACTAACGGGCATAGCTTCACGTACGTCTGATTTCACAGAGATTCACATACTCACTTAAGTCATCTGGCTGACTCCGAGTATGCAGACGATAACATCCTGCTAGGTGAAGACGCTGACAAAATACGGGGTCTTCTGAACGTACTGAGCAGAAATTTGAGGGTGTTTGGTATGAATCTCCCTCTTGTAAAATGTAAAACGATGCTCTAAGACTGGTCTGTTGTAAGTACTCCCAGCCTAATAATAATAGGGAGTGAAATGGTGGAATGTGTCGACAACTTCACTTGGGAATTTGTATCAGACCGAACGGATAGGTTGCTGACGAAATCTCAGTTCTCACCCCGTTTGACATTTTGAAAACTTGCATCACCTGTGGCACCGACTCGCAAAACATCCAACTATCAAAGGACCAGTATACTGCATTGCATTCCGCTCCATCCTGTTATACAGCTGTGAAACATGGTCGTTAAAAATAGTGGAGGACACGAAGCGGTTACAGGGTTTTGATCACACGTCTTTTACCATTGCTCACATTTAGTGAAATCAGCGTGTGAGCAATGTTAAGGTCAGGTGAAAGGCACTAGGCAACACAGGTAAGTCGATTGATGAGGTTGTGAACCTTAGTCGACCGAGGTGGCTTGGGCATGTTGTGCATACCAAGTCACCGTCTACCTAGATGTGCCATGCTACGGGACGTTGGATTAGGTTGTACGAAGGTTCAGGGGTGGCCAGATCAACACGTGGCATCAGTCCATGAAGGTCCTGTTTGCTTATCTTAGTCGTGATGGGAGATGTAGACTACCTGGTTGGGGTTCCCGAGACGAAATAAATCAGTGGATGAGAACTCTTGGTGACGGCTGAAAATTGGTCACGGTGACGCGGATTTATTCAGTCTTTGAATATTTGCACTAACCGTTATTTTCAAATTGTTCGTTATTTTCTGCGGCACAAGTTTTTCTACTTTGATACCAGTCTTTTTCTATCTATTCGTTGTTTTCATAATACTGTGAAATGTTGCAAGTTGAACTACTGCACTTGTGTGGCAGATTCTAAGTTGATTTTGTCTATCTTTCTTACTTTACTGATGTTACAAGGTTTTAACAGGTCATTCAGTAGTTTTGTAGCACGGATGTGATAAAGCTGATTAAACCGATTCTATTCTTGGAATACTATGATAAATGTTAGGGGCTAATTTTGTTTAACATGCCCATCTGTAACTTACCTTTCATAAAGATAAATATGCATGTAGAGCGATTTTTCAGTCCTAAGTATAATATTTGACTTTTATTGTTTAAATCCAAGCATATTTTATGATTGAGTTTATTCTTTTTATAGGGTCTCTTGGGCTGGCTGATGGTTCGTAGTGGACTAAAAGAACCTAGGCGACCAGCTGGTCTTTCGCCAAATGAGGAATATGTTAGTGTACCACGTGTGGACCATTACTGGCTTTGTGCCCATTTATGTTCAGCTGTTGTTCTGTATTCATTACTTCTGTGGGGTAGCTTTAACTATCTAGTTTCTCATCCTTCGGTAAGAAATTTTTTGCCGATATTTATTTTCACGTTATTCATAAGTAGTACACTGCGTCTGTAGGCACCAGCAGATCATTCAACGGCCGTTTAATAATGTTATCTCATACCTATGCATTTTCGAATAGGTTAGAGAGTTCAAGGAAGTAAAACGACTTAAAGCTCTTGGTCATTTGGGAAAAGCATTAACGTTCACAACAATAATTTACGGTGAGTGTGCACTTACGGTTACTTATAATGTTCACTTGTTTTTTCACTTTCTGATTTCGGATATCCTTCAGTGGTTTTTATTTATGTAGAGAAGGATATGAATCCTTCGTTGCCAGTGAATTATATATATATAGTCTGGGTAGTTTGATAGCATGTAATATTTTAGACGCTACTGGTAACTGCCTAATGCCCCGATGATTGCCACATACATTACGTAGACCCTCTTCATACATGATCATAATGATAACCTCGTTCTAGAGTGATGAAACATTTTCAGTCTGCCATAGCCTCTCAAACAGTCTAGTCAGTTTCCTAATTAGAGTTGTTTCTCTATCCTTACAAAAAACCGGGGGGGGGGGGGTAAGTTGTCTGGGTCGGGTGCCTTGTGGCTTTTTAGAACTCGGAGTTCGTTATGGAACCCCGCTTCGTTAAGTGGGTCTGTGTTAACTGACTATCGGGAAAGATACATTAAAACTGAGGATGCTGGAGCGGTCGATCAGTTAAACTGCTTCTCGAAGTGCTCCGCCCAGTGTTCGAGGCGTCTTTCAAGATTGTTTATAGACGTGCCACTTACCTCACAGACCATCTCACTGGCACCCAGCTCCTTGCTGGCAGTGACTCGGACGAGCTGTAACAGCTTCCGACTATCGCCTGATGTAGCTGCTGCTTCCATCTCACTCGTGCGTTTTGACCACCAAACCTCACAGTCATTGCGTAAGCGTTGTGTAATCTTTCGCGTATGAGACTTACGTGAACCATTATACTCGGTCTCCTCCGTAATTGTCTAACATGCGTCAAGTAGTTGTAGGGAGATCGCAGAGACAGTGTTTATTAGCTGGATGTGCTTCCAAGTTGCGGGCGGCTTTAGTTACTATTTTCATGGCGTCTTGCAATTGCAGCCAATGCTCGTCTACACTTTCTGGAGGATCAGTAGCTAGCCTTGAATCTAGTTCAGATTGGTGTTTAGCTGTAATGTTAGGTACGACAAATTTGCTTGCATCAACCTGTTTACGACGACGGTTTTGATGACCACCAAAACGCAAGATAAGCTGAGCACACACTAAAACATGATCAGAGTCCAGTCAAATACTCCATATGAAGCAACAATTCTGTATGCACCCACGCCATCGGTAGCTGATTGTAATATGATCTATTTGAGTCCAGACTTGAGTGGCAGAGTGAGAGGAGGACACCAAGTACCACAACGGGGATGACTGTGTCGGAAGTTGGTGCTGGTTAGAAATAGGTTGTGATCTGAGCCAAACTGCAGGAGGCGATTCCTATTATCCCACTTGCGGCCAACTAGACTCCATTAGTCACCTAAACGCCTCTCCTCTGATCCTAGACTCCCGACCTATGTGTTCAAGTCTCGCTTGATTGAGGTCACTCAGTTGATGATAGAACTCATCCTTGGTTGCATCCGGACTGCAGTCCGTCGGGGCACAGGTAAAGATGACAGAGATGTCACTTCTCCTACCAGTTACTTCTTACTCGAGATGAACCTTCTAGACCAACAGCACACAGACGACTGTTAATAGGGATACAGTTGAGTAGTACAGCCTTGAAGGCTTGAATATTTGCCGGAAAAACTGGGTAAGCGCTTCGAAATCTTAACCGTATATTTTAACTTTGCGTTTTATGTGAGGACTGAAATACTGCCGGCCGCGCAGACCGAAGCAGGTGGTTGTCTTAGGGGACCACTCACCGAGCTTTTGAGTCTAATCCACAAGGTAGTGGAGCAACATTAGGAGCTTCATTGCCATGGATGCAGGTGACTAAAATAGGTTCATATACTATTCGTTTTTTCCGGAACCTGGAGACCATGTGCACTGTTAGTTTGGAATCCGGTTTTTTTAACTCCCTTAAGTGGATGTTCAATATCCACCAATCCAGTGATAAGTGCTGGACATTTTGCTTTCGCCTCTTCACTTTTGTGGAAACACCCCGCCACATGAAGGCAGTGAATAGGACCTCCCTGGCAGAGTCTGTGGACGTCTACCAGGGCATTTAGTTGGCGAGATAGGTACATCCAGCTGTTGAGTTCCGGACAATGAAATGCGTACTCTGGATTCTAGTCTCAACTACTATCACAGTAAAGAACACAATCGGAATCTTTTTAAGGTTTATTTACTAAATCTCTAGCGGTATGGTTCATCAGTCTGTCACATGTTACCGGCAGTCGTTTGTAATAATGCTTTCATGAAATCATGTTTCTTTATTAGATTTTCACTTTTTTAGTTTTTATGTTTCGTTTTTTCCTTATGCTTTTTCATAAAGGTGCCTTCGTGGCTGGTCTAGATGCAGGATTAGTATATAATTCTTGGCCAAAAATGGCCGACAAATGGATTCCAGATGATTTAATCGTTTCACGTTATGGTTCAGGGATAAAAAATTTTCTGGATAATCCAACTGCGGTTCAGTTTGCCCATCGAATGTTAGCGTATGCAACAGTATTATCGACGGAGTATTGTGGGCGAATGTAATGCGTTTAGGTGTTGCGTGTACTGGAGTACGTATTCGAAGTGCTGCACATTTGATTCTAGCTGCTGCATTAGGACAGTCAGCACTTGGTATAGTAACTTTACTATATTATATACCGGTTCCATTAGCCTCATTGCACCAGTGTGGTAGTGTTGTACTTCTTTCGTCCTTACTTTGGTTCACTCATTGTTTACGTACTGTTCCAAAGTAGAATAACGTTTTTAATATCAGTAATGATAATAAAGATACTATTCACTTCTCATTTTTAATTTTAAAAAAAGTGTGCTTACTTTAAATGTTGATGTAGTACTTAGATGCATTGAATAGGAAGTTTCTATTTCAAATTCCGATATACTTTCTGGTTGTAATATGTTTCATGGGGAAATGGCGTTGTGGTTATTTTTTTTTAGCCTCCTGTATAACACAAATAGACGAATGGTTATCCGTCAGTTAACTGGAGGATATTATTGTAAATGTCTGCCAGTCACCTGACATCAGCATGAAACCCGACAGTGCTCCACAAAGGTCGAAGTTGCCACAGCTCACATCAAGAAATTTAGATGCAACGCAGCAAGATGAAATATAGAGAAATAGGAAGGCAAAATGTCGTAGAAAGTTGTTAGAGGATAGGAATAGGAGGTCAAGCGAATAACGAAGTGTCGCTTAACAATTAAGGTGAAAATGAAGTATAAATTTACCTGCCCTAATTAGATCAGGTTTCAGCCATATTATGTAGGATCTCGAACGACCGATTTCAGGTGTTACGTGGACCATAATAAAGAATCCGACATTTTCGTACACCACTGAGCCCGACCGATAGCTGCTACCTTGACGTGGTGGTCGGGCTTGCATATCACAATGACCCAACGAGCTATGCTGGTGGAGCGCTTGTTCCCTCGAGGTCCTACCATACCAGAAAGGTCTGTTGGATAGTTGTTAGACGAAAAGCAGGTACCGTCATAGTGTAAATCGCTACACTATGATGGGGGTCTGAGGGCGAAGTCGTACTGCTGCTGGCTGGATGGGGTGTGACAGCAGTAAGGTGTTTCCCTTGGATGACCAGCAGTGCCATGCTGATGCTGCCTTCTCAGTGGAAGGGGGGGGGGTTAGAAAAGGTCGGCCCCAAAAATAACACACTCCACCACGCCCCACGGTCTGCCGGGCCGGCGGTGTTGGTTCACTTGTCGTTTCCTTTCGACCATCCGGCCCAAAAATACAAAAGTTCAAAATAATCATACTCAAAAGGCTGTGTGTGACAGGCCTGAAGCAGATGTCCGATGGGCTCTGCGGTCACACAAATCTCTTTCAGGTACCTTAAGAAGAAATAGCCTTCCACAGTGTGGGCAGCCAGGAAGTGTTAACCGCCCTCACAACTCTGTCAGCACCCAAGTACACCACTGGGACCAATAGTCAGAAACTTCATCTGGTAATGCCGTTTTTTAGTCTGACCATCTTTGACTTCTTCCCAGCGTAAACCGACTACTTCTAACATTGTAGGACTAGGCAGACGATAACTATGTATTCGTCTCAGTCATCTGAGCTAATGATGGTTTACATCCTCACCGGATGACTGATTGCCTTTGCTTACGTTTTTGTACTTGATCTCTACGTTACTGATGTGTTAGTTCCTTGACGCCGACAATTTGACAAAGACTAGTGGTCAGACACCGGATTTCCTCTACATATCACTGCCGTATAATAAAAGAGACTGGGCTACTGTGCAGTACACTCGACCCTTAGTAGGCAGTCTGAGGTGTTGTCAATACAATGGATAGTGAGCCGTTTTATGCATACAGAGATTCCATCGGTCATTGACCCACCAGGACTGTCTAAGTCAGTGAGTGGCATATGGTGAATATCTTATATAGACACCTACGAACAGACCCGAAACCTGCCTTGTTTTCTCTGTATTTTCTGCTCTTGAACTCTACTTAGATGTCTGATAATTATGGAAAATAGAATCTTAGACACTGTCAGACCGATTTTCCTGTGGTTATCACGGACGGATTTCTCCCCTTTCTTGAAGACTGGGAAAGTCAGTGATTGAGACCGGTTAGAAGGGATCATATCTAAAACCCTTATGCTCTAAGTGACATTTCAGTTATTTTGGTCATTAATCTTCGAATACCATCCTTAAACACCTCTGGTACCAAGTTATCTGACCCTGCTGCGTTCCTTGTTTCACGTTTAAACCTTCTCAACTTTTGCAAGTATTGCATAGTATATCTTATTGCTCCATTCAGCATCCGACTTGATAGCGGGCAACGGAATATTGACTGGAGGACGGTTGAACTGTTCTTGAAAGTGTTCCACCATCGTTCCAATTGTTTATTTTGTGAGTAAGTCGTAGACCCATCCTTTTCCGTTATAGTCTCACTAACCATTGACATTTTCACCTGCGTTCCCTTAATTAGTTCAATTAGCTGCTCACCTATTCAGCCTGACCAATGCACCCTCATCTAGGTCAGAAAAATACTTTGTTTTTTTGAGTCTGTTCTTAATTTTCGGTAAGGCCTTGGATGAGTATTGGCAATAAATTCCTAGACATGATAGAAGTCAGATTGATTATTCTATCTTTATTATGAGTTTGCTAACAGACAAGTATCGTAAAAGAAAGTTGAAAAATACTTTGGAGAGAGAAAACAATGCATGAAAAGGCTTAGAGTTAAACTGCAAGCACTAGAAATCTAGCTGATTAGTACGACTTGTGCTTGGGCAGTTAGTTAGATCTTTATCTCTGTTTTCACAGCAGGTTGGAGATGATAACCGGGTTCTTAAGAATAAGTTTTTCTCGGTCCAAGTGCTACCTAACCAGTCTTTCTTTGAAAGCAACTTTAAGATCATCATTGGACTGTAGTTTTCTTACATCCATCCAGGTGCAGGCATACAGATACTCGTAACAACGTGTAGTCACTGTCCACATACGTGATTCAGAAGCAGCTCCACTCTTCCACCAACCCTCTCCAACGATGATTGGTAACATTGTGGTATATTTGTGCTTACTGCTGAGTTAAGGTCAATGGACGCTATGTTAAAAAACGTCTATTGATGTTTGGAATTCTCACTGGTCAAAAATGTATAGTTTTTTTGGGCACGGTTATATCCATTATTGCTTGGATTCTGAAAATTCTACCCAAGTGCCTTTCTGTGTAGTTTAACCCATATAGGTTTACATTGAAATCATCTGCAACGACAGTCACATTTGAGCGTTTAGTTTTCGGAGAAGGCTAGGTGATTTATGCTAAAAGTCGTCGTTCACTTCGTCTAAACTGCAGTCAGTGTGTCTGTAAGGAGGGATTACTGAGAAGTGACGGTGAGTTTCAGTACCCTTTTTATTCCTCACTTGACGATTCACTCTAAGGATGCACAAACAACTGCTCACGGATGCAATCGAGCAATTTTCTTTCCACAACGCTATGCCTACATCTGCAAGATGGCGAGACTTATCCAAAGAATCTCCGGAAACTCGGAGAGTGCGTCTTTTAGATTCACCACATAGGCTGGGTGAGGCTAGTTTAGTGATTCCACTTAAGTCCTGTATATGTTTCTAACAAAAACAACACTTGCCCATCCTGGGGGGTACGATAGTTTTGACTTGTGTTTCAAGATGACTTCACTGATTGAATGGCTGTTTTCATCATGACCAAATAAATGTCGTACCTTAGAATTACTTACATGGTGTTGCCACCAAACACGAATAATTCTACGGAGACAACAGTGGTTGAACACAGAATCGTCGAGCATCCTAAGCATGAAGAGCCCAGGTTTCACAGTAGAGCAGAACTGCTCGCACCGAAGCGTTTTAAAACAGACATTTAACGGTCAGACTAACGGCGCCAGCGGTGCCTCAGTTTGGCTTATGCTACTCTGGGTTTCGATATGCGGTTAGAAATTTCACTACCCACATTTCCACCAGGACTCACACGGCTACCTAGGTACGCTAACTTTTCGACTACTTCCAACAGCTCACCATCGTAGGTGAGTGCCAACACAGGTTCTCACCAGTGTTACAAAAGTGCTTTGCACTTCGCTAATGTGAAGCATATACCATAATTATGGATACTAATCGCCAACTGATTAAGAGAGATGTGAGTAGCCTGTGTATTATTCTCCTGACTGACTGAAAAAAACATGGGACGTCGCATACAAGTCCACCGGCTCAAGTTGCCACACTTCACAGTAGTACACAAAAACAGGTGAATAGAAACGATAACGTAGTATGAGAGAATAAGGAACCTTAGAATAAAGGTTGGTGTAAATATTCAAAATGTCAGTGAGTGAATACATCCGCGTCACCGTGACCAATTTTCAGCCGTCACCAAGAGTTCTCATCCACTGATTTATTTCGTCTCGGGAACCCCAACCAGGTAGTCTACATCTCCCATCACGACTAAGATAAGCAAACAGGACCTTCATGGACTGATGCCACGTGTTGATCTGGCCACCCCTGAACCTTCGTACAACCTAATCCAACGTCCCGTAGCATGGCACATCTAGGTAGACGGTGACTTGGTATGCACAACATGCCCAAGCCACCTCGGTCGACTAAGGTTCACAACCTCATCAATCGACTTACCTGTGTTGCCTAGTGCCTTTCACCTGACCTTAACATTGCTCACACGCTGATTTCACTAAATGTGAGCAATGGTAAAAAGACGTGTGATCAAAACCCTGCAACCGCTTCGTGTCCTCCACTATTTTTAACGACCATGTTTCACAGCTGTATAACAGGATGGAGCGGAATGCAATGCAGTATACTGGTCCTTTGATAGTTGGATGTTTTGCGAGTCGGTGCCACAGGTGATGCAAGTTTTCAAAATGTCAAACGGGGTGAGAACTGAGATTTCGTCAGCAACCTATCCGTTCGGTCTGATACAAATTCCCAAGTGAAGTTGTCGACACATTCCACCATTTCACTCCCTATTATTATTAGGCTGGGAGTACTTACAACAGACCAGTCTTAGAGCATCGTTTTACATTTTACAAGAGGGAGATTCATACC